TTTACTTGTTTACATTTTGGCAAATCACCACTATTAAAGATGTGTCGAATTGGCTATTAGGAGTTCCTGTTTGTGAAGTACCCGTGGATGTACAGATAACTATCACTGGATTACTGTGGTCGTGAAGAAAACTTCAAAACATGATGATTTTCAGGCAAGTTCTGGAGTTATTCGAGACGTCTTTTTTTCCTGTGATTGCTATTTATGGACAGTTGTTCGCGAAGGACATCGGAGATAATGATATCTTCGTCACACTGAGTCTGAAAATATGTATGTATAATATCTGTGTGTGTTCAGATTCGATTGAACACGATTTTAAAATTAATTGCAGCAATTGGATCCACAAATATTCAGGAGAAATCAGCCAATTTAAGTTCTCATTCATTCGTTCATTTTCTTTATTTTATTAAAAATTGCAAAAAAAAAAAAAATATTGATCAATTATCTGAACATTAATAGTGAAAGGCTTTTAATATGCATATGTACAAACAGGACATAATAGGGAGAAAATTATAAATACTCTTTCAACAAAACAGAAAATGCCTGCAGTGTTAGAAGCAACCACACTATTAGAAAACAAGTGAACGAGATGAATCTGCTGTCACTCCTCTTTCCTCCACTCCTTTGTTCCATGCTTTTCACGTCCACATGTTGGTTGCACATAAGCCTCATTTCAACTACCACTCAATATCAGCACCGTAGTCTTTGAGAGGAACTTTAACAATGTCCCTACTATCAAATCTCTCCTATTAAGAAGATCAAAATGCACCAATTCTAAGAAAGTATATCCTCTTTACAGAGAATTGTATAAAAAGCACCATATTAAGTTTATGAAGTATGTTAAGCCATAAGAGGAAGTGCTAGGCATGCTTTAAATCTACATTTCTCTGCAAGCACCATATCCCAGTAAGGTAGCTTTATGTTTGTTAATCATTTTGGTACCACTTCCTAATAAGGCAGCCTTTATAAACGTTATAAAAGTTGTACTTAAGGGGCTTTATTGATGTTAATAAATACTTTACTGATGCTTTATTGAAGAACAACTTCTGGGTTTCCAAGTTGTGAAAAATCCCTTTGGCTCCTCTAGTTTGTCACTTGATTGATGATGAAGCTTGTAGTTGATGAAGCTTGTAGTTACAAAATAATTCCATCAAATCTGCAGTTAATAAACACAAAAAGGTTGTTAAAAAGTGAATGTGGGTCCAGATGTTCTGCAGCTCTTTTCCAGATGGCCAGAGCTCTAATGGTGAGCTTGAGAGGTTTGCATGATAAAGTAAAAAAACAGCCTAAAAAGCCAAATAATGTTTAATACCAGAGGATTTACACAATTGAGGTGGATATTTCACAATCTGGCAACCCAAATGTTGCTCTGATTATTGGCTTATAACTTATCTATAAAGCATTAATAAATTATTTATTAACATTAATAAAAACCCTTAGTTACAACTTAAAAACACTTCATAAAAGTTGACTTATTAAAGCCATTATTAAAGATGGGAGGAGGGATACTCTGTTCTCTCTATGGCACCAACAGAGAACAACTGGCTCCACAATACACATGAGATGTCGCCGTGTATGCAAACCCTTTACCGTTAGCACCATCTGTATATTTGGGATTCACTTTAAGATTTGTTTTGTCCAAACCCACAATCCTCACCTAAACTCAAAATCCCTCCCTGTTCAAATATGGGGCGCTGCAGCCAATCCAGCGCCGCCATCTGGGCAACAGAGTGAGTAAATTTACAATCAGTGTTCTGTTAAGACAGCCCAGGATCAAGATGTCTCCCTCCCTATACACCTCCCCTCCACCCGTCTGTTCTCAGTTTCTGGGCTGGGAGTTGAACTCCTGGCAGATGTTGTTAATAATCTTGGGCACAAATTTGTAGAGGTTGTCGAACTCGTCAACGAAGAAGGAGTGCTCTTTGTCGGGGTCTGTGGCGATGTACTCCAGCTCATCCTGGGCTGCCCAGGCGATGCCGATGGAGTAGGCGATCACACCTAGATCACAGGAAGAGACAACAGATTACACGTGTTTGTCACATCAAACACACTGCATGACGCCTCTCTGTGGACTGACACACACCAGAGGACACAAGTTTATGTATAATTATATTGTTGATTCTGGGTCAAAGCCTTTTTCCTAACTTTAAAAATCTAGTTTTTAGGATTTTTTTCACGCATAATCACAGCTTGACCTGATGTTATCTGCATAAAATCTCCTTATTTTTTCGATTCTGTTGTGGTTGACCTCTAACCTTGGCGATGGACAGCCAGTGCAGGTGCCCTGACGTCATCATAGGAGCGCCCATCTGTAATCACAATCATGATCTTGCGTTTGTTGGGTTTAGATTTGCTGAAAAGCTGCTCTGCAGCATAGGTAATGGCTGCCCCAGTGCTGGTCCCGCCGCTCCAGTAGTTGATGCGTTTGATGGCATTCAGCAGCTCAGTCTTGTGGTTGTACTGGCCGAAGGCGAACTCCAGCCTCTGCTCGTAGGTGTACTGCACAGCTCCGACCCGTGTGTCCGTGTCAGAGATTTCAAATTCCCGCGTGACGTTGGCCACAAACTGCAGCACTGTGCGGAAGTTGCCAGTTCCCACACTGCTGGAGCCGTCGATGACGAAGGCGATGTCGTTGGCGTTGAGGCAGGTTTTGCTGCACACCAGGCGGTCTGTGTCACACACTCTTTTCACCAGGGGTTGCACGGCCTTCCTCAGGGCAAACCAGCTGGTCACAGGCAGGGAGAAGAAGCCGTTGGTCCGACACACAGCCTGTGGGATGAAGGACATATTTTGTTTCAAACTGGCATGTTTCAGTGACACAATAAACCTTACCCTACTATTTCCTGTCAAAATTGGTGCTGTGAAAAAAAGTCTATACTCCACCTTGTCAACAAAGTTGGCCTCAACCAGGTTTTGTTTCTCGTTATCATCAGGGCCCTCGATGGTGACGAAGAATATGTTGATTCCGGACTCCCGAGCGAGCCGAGACGCCTCCTCCACCTTGTCTGTGGGCCAGCCGTCCACCAGCACCACAGCAACGTTGGGAGCTCCACCTCGGTTTCCATTGGCATCGCTGAAGTACAATTTGTTGATGTAGGTGAGGGCCTTTCCTGTCAGTGCACCAGGGGGCAGCAGGGAGACAGTTATAATGATGCTACAGCCACTTTATATACAAGTCTGTGGTTGAAATGCAGGAATGCTTTTGGGAAAACACACATGGATGGAGAAATTGTTACACAACAAGTGGATAAAAATACACATTGACTGTAGACTAAAGTCCAGAAAAAGTGAAACAAAAGACACATGAAACAAATTTAAAAGTGCTCATTACTGTTCAGTGGACTGAGTTGTATGTCTTAATTGACCTTCTAAAGAAACTACTGTATGCCAAATAAAAACTTTGCACAGTATTTTGAACACTTATCTCTGTATGGAATGCATTGCTTTAACTGTATATCATCATATAAATAGTGATATCCTGTCATTTAGTCTGTCATAGTCTTGTTGGTGGTCTTGAAGGCAGAACAGGAGAGGCTCTGTTGGGGACTATAGAAGCTTTTACCAGTCACACTGTTGTATGATTAGAGGGCACTTCTGGGCAAACACAAACAACGGTATTTGTATGTGAATGCAAAATTTAGCAAGTCATAAAGACACATGTGGCAGTGGATGCATGCTGACGCACCAACCAAAGCAGAAAAACAGCACTTGCCCTCCGAAAGCGGACCCCCACGGGCTGGTAAAACCCAATGCTTTTCGGTCAGAGCAGAGGAAAAACACGGCTTACAGAAGGAGGACTGTAATTTAGCTAACAGTGTCTCGTAGCAAATTTAGATTTAATTCCATCCTTGCTCGTGAAAATGTGCCTGGGTAGTAAACCATGCGATAATTGCAGCCCTTTCACTTTCACACTTGTGTTTGTAGGCATTTACTGTATCTGGCAGCCGACTGCGGGTCACTCACCAACATTGGAGAGGCCTCCCTTCTGCACAATCTTATCTACGGCTGACTTCACCTCTTTGGAGTTGGAGTAAGACTTCAGACTGATCTCTGTCACAGGGTCGTCCCTTCAGACAAAACAACAAGCAACCACAATATGTTTTTTTTTTTTTTTTCATCTAAAAATGGTACAGAGTAAAACAACAGGAACAGTGAGGTTACCCGTATTGGATGATGCCCATCATGGGTCCAGCCACACCCACGTTGATGGTCTGAGCCACTTCAGACAGGAAGTCCTTCTGGATCTTGAAGCGCCTCTTCCCAATGCTCCAGCTCCCATCCATCAGGAAGACCATGTCCACCTTACAATCTGCAAAAACAGGACACGCCACAAGGTTACAGCACATTCAATAAAAAATGTTTTTATCAATTAAAGCTGCAGTTGGTAACTTTAAAAAAAATAACTTTTGTCATATTTGCTGAAACTTTCACTATATCCTGAGAGCAGTACATGATACAGATAATGTGTAAAAAAAAAACAGGTTTCTCTGGCTCCTCCTAGTGCTCGTAATGGCATTTACGAGAATGGACCGGGCCTGAACGAAAACAACCAATCAGAGCCAATAAAGATAGAAAGATGCTTTGGGTTGGTGGATTCTTGTACTAAGAACAAATAATTTGCAAGATGTAATAATCAAATAAAGAAGTATAAAGGGCATACTTGGGTCTCCCTGTGACACCGGCTCAGGTGCTCTGGGTACAGGTTCTTGCTCTCTCACGTTGAAGCCTGAAAATCAAGAAACACACAAATCTTTAAAGCAAAAGTCTGCTGAAATCTACTCTTTAGGTTTTATACTATAGAGAAACTTTTCATAAATTTCACTGGACTTTTTGTGTTATAGAAAATCCCATCCTATATTCATAATATGTTGTCATCCTAAATGTTCTATTTTCTTACTAGAAACAAGAGAACAGGTCAAACTTTACAGGAGCAACCTCAAAGTTTGGTAAAATTTCCACTGAACACGGCGCATTTGCAGCTGTCCACTTTCCAGAAATCCCAAACCTTAGCCAGTATATGTTGTGGCAAAAACTATGCCAAACAGGAACTGATTTTATCCTCAAGCAACCATACCATTTGACTCTAAATCCCTACAATTACAGGCTGAGCAGAAACCCAGATGCTTTTCCTCGGATAGCCTTGGTTTGGTTTGTACTTACAGTCAGAACTGAAGACTTACTGGCAAAGTGACTTGTTTGGAGGGAGGCAGAAAAAGGAGTAGCGGAAGCTATCTCACCTGATTCATAAAGGTTTGCTTCGGGCTTCCAGGCATCGACAGGCTCCACTGCATAGATGATATCATACAAGCTCAGCATTAGCACATTCCAACACAAAGCAACAAATAACTAATTAACATGACCAATTATTTTAGCCATACATAAAGAGGTTTCTTGGTTCCTTTGCTTAGAGATTCAGCTCTACTCATTATTAGAAAGCTAAAGCAGCCCTTGCTGAATAGCAATAGTCCAAGCTGATGCCTCATTGGATACAAACAAGTGTTTGTAGCCATGGTAACCACTTCTTACCTCTAGTATGGGTTGTGTCCAATGGCACTTTACGGATGCCATCTGAGTCAGTGGAGCGAGGCACTAAAAGTAAAGACATCAGTGATGACAGACTGTGACACACACGACACATTTGAAATTTATGCGAACACACCATGACATTACAGCCCGCTCCCACCAGCTCCGTGTTTTAGTGGGATGGGTGTGTGGTAGTACTCCTGTGGTGCATGCTGGAAATGGCTCAGCCACTCGCTTTTCCAAAACCAAGTCCCTTCTACTTTGATTTGGTGGCTCGGCTTTGTCATCAAACAGATGGAATCATGGCCTGTAATCTGAAAGTGAGGGCTCCTGACTGCCATTTTGTGTCTTGTCATTGGGCCATATTCTAAGTGGTTTGTATATTTTTTGTGCGAAGGCAGTGACTAAAAACAAATCAAATGTGTGTTCCTTTCAAAGCACTAAAAGGAATAGTTCCACATTTTAGGAAATATGCTTCTTTGCTTTCTTGCAGAGAGTTTCATGGAGAAGATTGATACCAATCTTGGATCTGTGTGTTAAGGGATCACCTCCTGGCTCAAGGGGAGTTAGAGCCCGGAGGTGATTAGCCTAGCTTAGCATAAAGACTAGAATCAAGGGGAAACAGTTAGCGTGGCTCTATCCAAAGTTAACAAAATCCACCTCCCAGCACATCTAAAGTGTTCCAGCACGTTTTTCAGTCATTAGACTTATCAATACAGCTACCCTGCGCAAAGGCTCGTGTTTCACTGGCATTATTTTATTATTTTTACATTTCAACTCTGTTTTCTTTTACACTGATTGTGTGTTGGACTCTAAGTGTCAAATTGACAGAATGACCTAAAAATTACTTACACTTATTGCAGTGCCTGAACGCATCCTATGTAGACACAGAAGGAGGACTAAGCTAAAGCTGCTCCGCTAATGTGCTTTCACTACGCAGCCAATCGTGTAAAACTCACAAAGATCTAATAGCTGATCTCTTTTGTTAAAATTGTACAAAAACTGAAATAAAGAAACAATAAGTAGGCTGAATTTGCAACATTTGGACGCAGTCTTTGTGCAAATATAAATGGCTACTGGCTGTAGCTTCATGTTTAAAATACCTACATGATGTTTGTGGGCAAGAAAGCACATATTTCCCACATTGTCTAACTGTTCCTTTTAGTGTCATGGCCCAACTGTTTGATACATTTCATTGTATTATCATTATTATTAGTAGAAGTAAAATGGGAACATGTAAGTGTTGTCATGTCTAGGAAGTTGTGTCAAGTGTTGTGTCCCTGAGAGAAACATCTACAGAATCACAATCCATACACATTGCAATATAAAACCTGAACCCCAAGACTTGTTAGTTCCCAATGAATAGAATAGAAAACCACTTACTGTATTGTCCAAAGTTATAAAACCAGCGCTCATATTCTGAGATATCAGGCCTGTGATCCCGAGCTAGAGGAGGATGTTGTGAAACCCATTAGTATTCCCAAAATGAACTTCAGAGGGAAAAGCACACATTTCCATGGTTGTGATTGGCCACATATCCTTCCCAACCAATCCCAGACCAGTGAAAACAATGGCTTTGTGCAGAATAATCACCTCACAGTGTCTCTCACATGCACAAACAATAAACCTGCCCTATGCTCTTCTTTTCCACACTTCACAGGAATCTCACATATGGCAGGCAGATGGCATGTAAACACAACGTCTTGAGAGACACATTGCATGTACTTACAGGTGGAGCCAATTCAACACATACATGGTCAGCAGATACCTAACTGTATCATTCACACGAGCATGCTGCGTTTGCACATGCAACATACCGGTAGATAGATACAAGGTGTGGTAACCTGGGGGCAGTGCACACCAAACTGTCATGTTGTGTTGCCTTCGAGGGAGGTGAACTTACCTGAAATCTCAGGTGTGTCCGCCTCAGTCCACGTGTATCCCGAGTCTGGAGCTGCATAACTAACATCTGAATATACAGCAGAGAAGGCGGAGGCATCAGCAACTACTTAAACTAATGGCATTCCCATCAGCCTCTACTGCACTTTGTATTCAGTGCTAATTAGCTAATGTTGGCATGGTAATATGGTAAAGATGGTGAATGTTAACATTATACCTGCATGTTAGCGTTGTCATTGTGAGTCATGGATGTATTACAAGCATAGACTGTATAAATATAAATAGTGGACCACTGTGGAGTACCATTTTGAAGCCTCGATTTTGGCATTATGGGCGTCTACGCCTCTATCCTGATTGACGGTTAGCATGTAGCCACACCTTTTAGCATACCCTGCTTTATCATGTATTTATTCTGAATGGAACCATAATTTACAACATCAAGTAAGGAAGGAGACTTGAAAACAGTGGAGACGCCCCCTGCTGGCCATTAGAAAGAATGCAGGTTTCAAGCATTTTGGCTTCATTTTTCAGACCCGGAAGCTAGGTTCACTATTTTATCATCATTAGTCTATGATTACAGGAAATCTCTCTTAATACATCCATGTTGTGAACATTTTAGCCTGTTGATGTTGAGCTAAAATCACCGCTGTGTATAGGTACAGTCTCACAGAGCTGCTAGCATGGCTGTACATTCTTAGTCTTGTTTTGTCATATTCTAGCTTTTATTTACAACCTGAAGAAAAAGTAGGTTTTTTCCACTTCACTTTTATTAATCACCTGTTTCATAGGTTGTGAGATGAAACAAGCTCTTTCCAAATAGTTTCTTGTATGTAAATGAGAATTCTAAAAATGCACTATATTTCTAAGGCTACATACTTGACAATGGAGGAATAAATTAAATATTCAATGAAAATTAACATTAAGTACCTTAACAGAAAACATTCTATGACATATTGCACCCATGCCATTCTTACCTTAGTCAGTTTCAATCTTAAAGAAAATCATTTATATTTAACTTAGAATATGTTTATGAATTGCTAAAGAAGGCTGATCTGTTCTGTTGTTGGTACCTGCTGGTCGTCGAGCTCCTGGGAACCAATCAGGACGAGGAAAGGAAGGGGGGGCCCAATCCCTTCTAGGAAAAGCTGTGCAGGGAAAGATTAGAAAGCCGTGTTCAGCACAAGCATCAAGAAGGAGCATACTTGTGACCTCCACTAAACCTGCCACATTATTAGTGGAGTATGCACAAGATGTTCAGCCTTGAGTCAGACACCAAACATACCGTAGTCTCTCAGACAGACAGTGACTGAGTGACTAAAGGTTGTTTTAGTGAAGTTCTTCCTCGCTCTTTCTACCTGCAGGGTAGACAGACAGAGGAAGCCCAACTGTCTGAGAAAATGTGTTTCTCATTTTTCTGTTTTCTACCTGCCGCTCTTGGCATCACAATTCACGCAGACTCAACATTGTAACTTAAGACGTGGCAAAAACAAACATCTGGCAGTTAAATCGGCCTGACTCTTGCATGGCACAAGGTTAATCGAAATGTGATTGAACACTAGAAGCCCAAACAGCTGAGCAAAACCATAACAGTGCATTGCATCTGTCCAAACTGACTGAGCCATGACAACACACTTCAGTTAACCTCTCCCTGCAGTGGATGGGTAGCTTACACAAACACACAGCCTGGGCTCTGAGGTTCCCATCCAGTGGCAGCCAGGGAGCAGGGCCTTTGTTGACCGGGACGGGCTGGGAGAGCCCAGCCAGCAGCCCAGCGAAGCGTGGGAGTATTATTCTAAAGTTGGTGTCAAACCAGGGACAGTGTAGATAGTAGGACACAGAGATTAGCCTAATCTGCTGCTGGTCAAAGGCCCAGTGCTATACGGCAGACAGTAGTGTTGTTTTTTCTGATGAAACAGGTGCTTTAAAAGAATTGAGTTTAACTCTCCTGATCATAGCCACTTCAGTGCTCACTACGGCCAGAAGGTCAGAGCAGCACCGAGAATAGTGACCCTTGGCTGTAGCTCAATCTGTAAAAAATGTAAGAAGTGCTGATAATATGCAATTCCTCCACATCACAAAACAGATTTTATTGCGTTTTAACACCAACACAGAGGCCCAACGAACTGAATTTTGACATCTTTTACAGAGGTTTTCCATGAACCTTTGTGGTTGTCAAGTGGGCATATGTCAGGCTAAACTGGATCGTAACATTTCCAGAAAGCTGAGCAATAAATTCGAACATCTGTTTGGGGCATCCGGGTGGCAAAGTGACAGCGGAGAAAACCTTTCAACTCTTAAATCAGAGTTCAAAACTCCAGCATCAGCAAGCATCCACCACCACTACCGGCTCCAGGGGTTCGGCTGTGTAGTTGATCCTGACCTCGGACATCTGACCTCAAGCATAAAGAATTTCCCTAAGGGGATCAATAAAGTATCACTTTATTATCCCTCTGAATAGCCACTCTCTGCGCTGATCTGATACTTTACACACTTGAGTCTCAGCAAAAAACAGATGAATGATGTACTAGCTTGAAACAGCTCGCACTGTATTTTAGAAATCATATCATACAATCAACCATCATTTAAATGGATGTCTAAGTTTAGGGATTCATGGTTTTGCATTCCACAGGAGCAAAAACAGAAGCGCATTACTCAGTGAGCCAAACCTAGCCTGGTTTGAATGGCTGGTCAAGCTTTCTATTCTTGACAGGCTGCAGAGTGGACCCAGATCCTGCAGCGCTGTGGAGTGGGTCTCTCTGGGAGCAGCAACGGGCCACTTGCTGCTGCTGCTGCTCTCATCTCTTTCTCCCTCTCTGCAAGCATTTACAAGGGGAGGGGAAGAGGCCAGACCAGATGGGATCTGTCATAAGATTTTATTATGGTACTGACAGAGCGTGTTTCTCATCGTGGTCTTATCTAAAAGAGAGAGGTTGAGGGTTCGATGATATCTCAGAATAGTGGAGATATGGCACAAGATGAATTCAGAACCCTGATATCACATTATTGTTCTTATTTAAGGCATATAGACATACTCGATTCTCATTTTTTAATGTAGGGTTCAGTGAAAGTCGTAATTCTGCCTGTCGTTTATAGAGGCCTGGCCGGGCATTGAACCACAGCATCCCTCAGAGGGTAAACATTGGTGCAGCTTTATAAAACATTTCAACCAGGGTTTTACTGCTTTCGTTTCCCCCTGTTTGATCAGACCTGTCTACTTCTCTACGTCACCGAGTGTGTCAGCTAGTGAAGTTTGAGGACTCCCACTCAGGGTCTGGAGATACTTACCGGGGTTGGACTGGCTCATGGTTGGACTCCGCTCGGGTGGGGCCGGTTGAACCCTGTTAAAAGCTGTTTGTAGCAATGAGAAACAGGCAGTTAGAATAAGAAAGGAAAAGAAGGGAGAAAGGGGGGCAGAAGAGAGCTTCAGGTCTGGGACTTCATCCGCAAATGCAGCCCAGCTGTTTTGCTTCGAGTGCAGTTAAAGGCATTTTTTCCGCAGCATGATATCAAAAACAAAAAGATATATGCTGGGCGTATTTACAGGCCTTAACTTGGCTACATTTGCCTCTTTTCATCTCAGAGAATGAAAACACGAATAAGAGGACGTGCCTGATGACAGAGAACAGCGGTTATCGTGAAAGGAATGTTAGCTGAGATGCTTGATGGAGTGGATTAGTGTTGACCCCTGGGTGAAGATCACAGGGGCTTATGGGTGTGGATACGAGGGTCAGACTTACACAGTCTACATCTCCTGGATTCTTGTTAAGACTTCTGTCCCCGCTGATGTCCTTGACCAGCATTCCCTGTCAGTCCCACCATGTCTACCTGATTGTTACTCTGATTTTGTGTGTGTGTGTGTGTGTGTGTGTGTAAAGAGGCTGACCTGGGCCAACTGGAGAGGATGGTGGTCTCCTGATAACCGACCCTGCCTCTGGTCTGCGCAGACCTGGGACCAAGATTGGAAAACACATGTGAGACAACATGAAATAATATTCATCTTTTTTATCTGCACTGGCAGATAAATGGGTACTGGTTAAGGTTATTATTCTATGGTATAGTGTGTAAAACTTTTGTCATAGAGTCATTCTTGAGGAAACATTACGTTATATTGAAGAAAAAATGTTATAAATGCTTAATAATACAGTGGTATTTTCCTTGAAAGATAACAAAACAGAAGTTGGGCAGAACAATCTGGTCTGGCCGTGTCTTAAAAGTCTAGTAAAAAAGTCTATGAAAGCAGCTGTGCGGAGCAGAGATACCATGCAGACTTGATGTATCAGCACAAAAGAAAGAAAGAAAGAGAAAAAATAAAATGTTGAGACAATCTCTATAAAACGAAAGAATGAAATGAACACAGACACATCAGGAGGATTACAGCTCGGTTTACCTGCACTGGCACGTTGTGGGAATCTATTCGGATAGGCACTTCCTCTGAATACTTTGAAGAGATGCCATGGTTTAGTTAAACTTGAATTGTTATATGTGGTGTAAAGGACTTTCCAAGAGCTGCAGAATCAGTGAGAGTTTTGACGTACCTTGGCCGAGACTCTTTCCTTGACCATTCTGTGACTGTCCTATACCAGTGTTGAGAATAACAGAGTGTGGGCACAAAACAAGTGTAATGTAAATTAGATGCAAATAGCAAATTCAATGTAGTTTTTTGGATTTAGTATAAACCAATAACCCAGGTTATGGCCTTACTGTTTTAAGTGTGTTTGCCTTAAAACAAGTGAACTCTACTGATTTCACAAATTAATTTTCAAGTTGTGCCATTAATGAAGACAAACTTGCTTAGTAAACAGCACCAACTTTAATACAGAATACATGATGAATCCTGATGCACACTATTCCCAGAGGACTGATGTGAAGCAAAGACCCTATGCTTGACGTAAACTCATGTTCCTGCACATCCCAGTGTAAAGCGACACCACCGTACCCCCATGCCACCAAACCCCCTCCCCGCAAAAAACAACAGTGTTGACCCCAGTTTGCTTCATTTCACTTACTTGAACTTGCGGCTGCCACAGAGGCAAGGTATGGGTGACTGCTGCCTAGATAGAAGAAAGACAAATGGTGTGCCAATACGGAGAGGGGAGAGATAATGTTACAGTAAATGAAAGAGAGAGAAACGGTGGGAAGGTCATCTGGCATACGGCCCATCTCATGTATACACATACCTCAAGATACTGCAGCATTGTCTGCTCACTGTAGCTGCATTTCTCTCCAAAACAGGGCAGATGACTCACGGCGATTACCGTCTGATAATGTTTTCATTTAATAAGAGTGATGAACGGTCTGGTGATCAAGTGTACAGTTGAGTCAGTCAAGCCACTGAACAGCACTGTAACTTCATCACAGACCAGCTGTAATTTGTCATAATTGCAGTTGTGACTTGTAATTACCAGCTGCAATCGTTCGTCTTCATCACTCAGTTTCACATAAATGAAAGCTTGTTCTGGCAAACAGCATTTCTAGTTACAAGCTGCTAATGTTGTTAGTTAGTCTAACAGCTAGGCGGCACACTGGCTGCAGTGGATCTTCTGTGTGGATTGGTATTATTGGATCATTAACAGTATCCTGCATCCAAGTAAATACACAATCCTCCACATAACATACATGGATCCATTGACGTAGAAGAAAGAATTAACTTTTTGTACATGTATGTATGCAAAAAATATTTAAGTGTTTGTTTAAATCACCTGCATCCCTGACTTTATGGACAGCAGCTCGAGCCTTGGTGGTAGTGGGTGGTGGTGGAGGTGTAGTGGTGGTGGTGGTGGGAGCCATTGTGGTGGTGGTGGGTTCAGGTGTTGTAATAGTGGTGGGTTCAGGTGCTGTTGTCGGAGGCATCACTGTGGTGACCGCAGGGGATTTGGCCTCCTTTTGACCTGAAGGGAGACGACAGATGAAGGCGGTCGTGTACAAGATGGATGGTCGGGGAGGAAGAACGTTTACAGTAACTGCTGTGTAGTAATGCATTCTTGACATTCTTCACCAGACTGCGGCACTCAGACTCCTCATTCAACCTGAGCGAAGTTCAGTATGCCAGAGTCAAACGCAGGACACTTATTGTCCAAAATACGCACCGATCTGGTGATTTGTAGGCTGAAAGATTTGGGTTAAAGCTAAAACTAAAATTGTTTGGAAAGTAAAAGCTTTTAGATAATGGGTTACATTTAACCTTTGTTTCAGCAGCATTTCAATGACTATATTTCACTGCAAAAGCCTGACCTTTATGCTCATATATAGTGAATGAAATGCTGTTGAAAACCTTTAACTTTTTAACCAAATTTACTTCAGTTTGTCATTTTTCCTTCCTGATATGATTCGGTATCAACCGATACAGTCTACCAATCCAATACATTTCATAACAGGCGTATACTACTATGTCTGTATGATTACTATTTCTGTATGGTCTGACTTAGGTTAAACCCTTTGTCTGAGTCAAAATAACACTCGCTATTCAGGGGAAGATAATGGTAAACGGGGTACTGCTGGAAAGAGCATATAAAATCATGAATGCCTTTAACAATTTGTGTTTATTTCTTAAAACAGGTTTGTTAAAACAAGTGCGTCATGAAAAAAGTAGTGTTGACATTGCACTTCCATAGCATTTACAGTACCAAACAGAATTATTTTTGTATGTTTCTTCCTTTTTATTGTATTTAACTTATGTCATATTGAAACATCATCATATCTTAAAGTAATATTGTACGTTGTTGCACGTTGTACGTCCAAATGAAATAAAAAGAAAACAGTCAATAGGTTCTATAATATAATCCTAAACTTTATGGAGGAATAAGTATGAATTGATTGGTGGATCACTTTTTTACATATTTTTAATCTTTGGTTTTGGGGGGGAGGTATTTTCAAGTCAAAAGGCTCAAGTCCAAGTAAAGTCATGAGTCACTGGTGTTAAATTCCAAGTGAAGCTGCAAATCATTTGATTTTGTCAAGTCGATTTAATACTCATCAAATTTGTGACACAAGTCTGTCATCAAATCATTGCTTACTCATATTATTGTGAAACACTGAGCATCTTTCAGTCAACTAAATGTAATAAAAAAAGATGCACAATGTGAGTGTAAAAATAACTCACTTGTTTTCACGTAGGTTGGTCTCGAAGGGACATAGTCCAGCGTAGAGGGGTAGATCACTCCTTTCTTGGGCTTCCCCACTGAAACACAATAGAGTCAGCTGTTGGTTGTAGTGTTAATCCTAAAGAACTGTATTAAACATTATTCTCTTCATCATTAATACCTGAGACAACGAATGACTCTCTCCACTTCGGTAGAGACAGAGAGCGCACTCCGTTTGAATTGCTGCCTTTGTAGATGTTTTGGCCAGCCATCTTCCTCACTATCACCTTTCCTCCTGTGTTGGTGATGATGCCACTGTGGACACACATTTTTTAAATCAGATATAACTGCTAATAACCTGCCATACAGATGTCTCCCGTGAGCTTTATTTCACATTAATCACTGTAACCTGTGAATGGCTGCGTTGCAGATGCTGGAGATGGAGGCGAACACGCCCGTCCCGTAGACTTGCTGCTTTGTCTCCTTACAGTGTGCAGGACATTTGACTATGAACTCTGGGAGATTTATCTTTCCTGCTCTGACATCGCACTCTATCTCAGGAACAACTGTGGAAGAAGAAGAAGAATTAGAAGAAGATGGCAGGATTTTAGACAGGTGTTTGTAGATGTTGAGGTTAGTTTATACATGACAACTGACAGCATTGCAATTAGAGTTGAAACAATACAATTGATCATCGATTAGTCGATCAATTTCAAGCAAAAATGCCAACCATTCCGTAGGTCAAGCTTCTCAAATTTTAGTATTTGTTGCTTTCTTTGTATCATGTAATAATTAAGTGATTATCTTTAAGTTTTGGAGTGCTGGTCGGATACTTTGGGCTTCAGGATATCATGTTGGCCCTTTTTTCACATTCACTGGCATTTTATGGACCAAATGCTTAATTGATTGATCAAGAAATAGATAATGACAATAATTGTTAGTTGTAGCCCTTACCTACCTTACCTACACCTTTTGGCTCGTAAATCAGTGCAGACTGGGATTAATTCATTGCATTTTTCATCTTTTTGAATCAGTGAATTAAAAGCGACTGCAGTGGAGAGAGCCAGTGGAGACTATAACAGTGGGACTGACGGAGATTACAGGCTTGCTTGTTGTTGATGTGTACCTTGCTTTGGTTTCTTGTTCTTTGATCCGTTAGGTTTGGCCCAGCAAGCACAGGACAGGAGGAGTGCTGCGGGTGAGGCAGAGGGAGTTTCACATAATAGCAGACAAAGTAACATAATCATCAGTGTGTTTACTGTATACACAAGACCTCTGTGACAGAGGATGGGCTGTTTGATGGTGTGAATGTACAAAAACGGGATTTTGAAGGAGACAGCACAAAGTATTTTGGAAATATGAAACACTGTAGTCAAGGGTGATATATTTAAAACCAGCGTACTCCTGCGGAGAGACAGACGGGTTGCTCACCGAGGCAGATGGCAGTGAGTGATGCTCTGATCATGATGGGTGGTGTGCTGGTTCAGCAGGTCAGCCAGATGTCCTTGTATAACCTCCCAACCTTAGAGGGAGAGAGAGGAAAAGCAGCAGAATTTCACTGTTGTCCTCTGAAACCAATTTCCTGCTTCCTGCTTAACCGCTGAAAGTAACTTTGGACACTTTGGTCAACATTTCAGTGTGACGATGTGGTGTAGCGTCAGCTGGAAACAAGGCAGAGTAAACTTGTGCCACTGAGATACACTTTCCAGAGATTTTTGGATAAATAGCAGACAGACTGTGGACTAACTTCACACAGAGCCGAATGACTTATCCAGCATTTGTAAAGCTAGTGTGGTTGATTAAACAACTTGAAAAACATTTATTGTAACTCATGTTGTCGTGCCTGCTTCTACATCAGTCAGATCAAATAAGGATTGTATTTCAGTGTAGGTCAATGTTTCTTGTTCCACTTAGTTGGGTTACAAAACGCTGAAAGTATCAGAATGTCCACAGCGAACATCTGGACTCTGAGACCAAACTGTATGTGCGAGTCCTCCCTCTATGTATGGAGTCAGACTTCATTAGAGAGCACACACAGACGTAATTTAATACATAAGGAATGGGGAACTGCATTCAATCAGATGGCTTCTTTGTTTGACACCAATAACCACATCAAGCTGGATCCCAGTTTGAAATACAGTCTGTTTACAGTAGACACAGAAAATGTCTTTCTGTGTCTGTCATTCAGATATAAAAGTTATACCCATTAATCAAAGACGTAAATCAAAGACGAAGCCTGTGTTAACAAGAACAGAAGTGGGTCGCCAAGACATCATTCCAGACACTGCAGGTCTGTTGTAGTAATGATAGCGCTGCTGATAACTACTACAGCGACGTCTGAGCTAACCCTAGACCCGGCACTGCGGCGAGCCGGTGGGATGGAGCTCCTTGCTGCGGAGGTGATGACTGAGGCCTCCCTGTTAACAGAGGAATGCTGTACCTCCCACAAGGGTGGCGGCACATCTGTCACTGCCGCCACACACCAGCAGGTTCAATCTGATCATGTGATCGTACAGCGACCTCTGAGGCAGGGTCAGATATGATGCAGCAAAGGATCGCTGGTTGGATCTCAGGAGAATAAATCTGTGTGGGCAGAGTCCCTACCTCAGTACAACTGGTGAGCTGCCCTTGAGCAGGGACTTTAACTGGTTACTGCTCATCAGACCACGGTGGAGAAGTTCTCAGGTGTGAATGTGTCTAAATGTAAAAAAAACTGCTCTCAGTAAAACCTGGAGAAATAAATGTTTAAAAAATAAGAAATCACTGGCTTTAATGTGCTTTTATCACCAATGATTGTAACAGCTGGAGTGAAGGGATATACACCCATAATTTAATCATCAAATAGAATGATTTTATCACTCAACAGAGCACAAAGTGGGCAGGAAAGTAGAAAAATGTCAGACTCTGTAAAAGAGGACCCCTCTGTAAAACAGCAAGTTGTGGTTTTAAGGTAATGATTGAGGTTATATGCAGGACTATCTCTTGGCCGGGCGCAGTGACTTAATGCAGCCTCCACAGGTTGCCTGGCAACCTCACAGTGATGACAAGACCCCAGGAATTCACTGCACCTAGCCAAGACATAGTTTGCCAAATAACCCCTGTAATACCATTACGTGTTTTCTTTTCACACTTGTACTTTGTTGAGATTAAACAAACCTTTTCCTACCAGCTTCAACAGGTGCTGGTAGGCAGTTTTTTTTACTTTTGGACTGAGGCAGTTTGGCTGTTTGCTGTTCAAAACTCAAGAATTAATCACCAGATGCTTAATTAAGAATAGCATCCTGTCCTTAAAAGCATCAGAGTCCTGCCAGGCTGTTAAACATACGGGGGCATTGTAATGATGTAACTTTTTGGATGATTTTTGAGTTGTTGGAGTTCAAAAATGTAAAAGTTACTGCAATCAGCCATTTCCATGCGCAGCTCTCTATTGCAGCTTCTTCTATAAAGTGTGCATGAGGTGCTTCTTTTGCACTGGAGTCCATGATTTCCCACCTAATGATGGTATTTTTAGAGCGAACACACACCGCAAACATAACATATCATGTTATGGTAACAAGGAATATAGCTGCAGTTGGCAGTGATAGGACTTTCCCTAATGCAGCTCTACATTTTTATCTGACATTCATGAGCACTGACATGATTTTTCCACAGTGTTGTGCTTTGACAGGCAGGTAGATGACTGCTGCGCAGTCAGGACTACAATTTGTCCTTGTGGGAGAAGAAAGCTGAGGCAGGGAACAAGCTGGGACAGATATGTACATCTACAGTACAGGAGACGGACCTGCAGCATATGAGAGGTGAGTCAGCGCGCTTCACTGGATAAGGCAGACTACAAAACTCATCTGTCATACACCTGCAAGGAAATCTATACCGTGAACACCATGTTCCCCAATGTACAGTAGAGCTACTATCATACAAACACCACTGTTCATTCAAGGACTGTTCCTGAGTCCTTTAAAAGATGACATCGCTGTAGGAGAAAATGAAATGTGTAAAAAAAACGACAATAATTTAAGACGTCTTAATTTGTGTTCTCAGTGAGAGCCTCTAAATGCCTCCTTCTTCAAGCAATGAAACGCAGGGCAAATGATATCCTTTGACAAACAATTTGGGAGTTTCCTGTACAGTAGATAATAGATCCTGAAGAGACTTGCAGAGACACAAACTCTCATCTCTCTCTCCCTCTCTTTCTCTTTCTCTCTCACACACACACACATTCAACTAAATGATAAAAAATAAACAAACAGAGGCCGAGATCTAGGATAACTTATCACGTGCTCAGATAGCTTTGGAGACGGCCGCGGTATGTGAGAGCTTTCAGACTCACCACTTACCACCACCATAAATCACAAACAAGGACGGTTACATGCTGTGTAAGTATTGTATATCTTACATATACCGGGATTAAATTTTAGATAAGGCACAGGTTGTTCCTATAGCTTGCTTGAGCCATCATTCTTTATTTTTCCCCAAATTGTGTGTCTCATTTCTGCTGGGTGGGGACACAAATCAAACAAACTGACAATTAACTTTGAGAAAAGAGTACAAAAAAAGTAAGCAAAGTGATTTTCCCAGCCGCTCCAAAAGATGAAAGGTTCTGTGTGCCTCAGTCACTTTAAAACCCAGCAGCTCAGACAGGTCACATAGTTTGAGGAATTAAAGTGCAATTCAATTCAGGATAACATTCTCACTACAATGTGGATTACATGCACAAAACCTTAACCGAGATTACACAGGGCCAAGCTGTTTCGCGCAAAGCCGCAGCAAAATTAACATTTTCAGCTCCTGCAGGCAAACACCAGCAATCTGATAATGTAGTATGAGCGTCACACCTGGCAGGAGTGTCACAGGTATACAGGGGCTATAATGCAAACAGGATGTACAGTAGCTGGCTGTGTCTATTTCAAAGGCCAGCACACAATGGGTCTTCAAAACATGAGCAGACCACACACACCTGTAACTGGTGCACCACAGTCCTAGAGGTGTTCGGCGGAAGTTTTTGATAAGCACTGATAATACACTGAAAATTTAATTATTTCACATTTTTACACCCTAAAAGGATTCCGTGATAGTAAACTTTTGGGTCATACAGCTTGATGCCAAAACAGCAGGACTCTATTTCAATTCTTCCTCCATTTCTGCATCACCCATATTCCTTGTCTGAGGTGACCGGTGTAAATGCAGGGAGGGTACGCACTACATGGGACTAAGGCTTGGTTGAGTATCATGGCCAGCCTTGAACTCGGTTTCAGAGAGTTCCTGAGTGATGACACGCCTAACGTTAGACAGTATTTACACACACCCAGTGCCAGGGAAGGAGCGTTAAATCCCAGCATTCACAGGTGTCAGAAATGTACTGTAAGCATGTTAGATGTGCCAAGTGTTGTAGCAACAAGCCAACTAAAGAACCATTGGAGAGATCAGACACACAGGAAAGCCAACATGTCTCTACAAGGTCAATTTTGTAGCCTTTTGGGCTGCTGCTGCTAGGACAGTGTTTGTTTATCAAGCACAGAGCTGGCTGAATTACTTTAATTCTTGGCACCAGCTTCAGTGCAAGCCAGAGCCTGCAGTCTGCTGCTGGACATATTGTGTAGAGACCACCTGTGCTTAATCAGACTCCTTCAAACCATACAGAAATGTCAGAAAGAATACAGAAATAAATGTCAAACACAGTGTTCAAGAAATAAAAACAAAAGCTAAAGAATTCACCACTCAGATTTGCTTATTATTATACTGTCAAAATTAGTCAATTCAAAATAAAGGCTTAGGGAAAAATAATAGCTCAGTTTCTACAGGCTTTAGTATGAATGATCATGGCTGAATTCATTCAGCTAGAAACCTCGCTTCAGGAGAGAGGAAAGGGGTGTTTACTAGAAAAAATATATTTAAAAAAAACAAACAGAAAGTAAAACAAACAAACTGAATTTAAGCAGTGGTACGATTATTTGGGCAGCCCGTCAAATCAACTGAAATATACAGACATCCACGATATAAATTGCAAAAGAAAAAAGTTAATAAAAAAGTTTGTAAAAACGCCAGAACCTCGTGTAGTGTTAAGATTCCCCACAGACGTGATGATCAAAAGTGCTCAAATTCACTTGGACTCAATGGACAGCCATTACGCGCAATTACGCATCATTTAAAAAGTGGATAACTCATTGACGCCACGCAGCAGCAAACTTCGCCAGTTCATATGTGAAGCTGAATTGTAGTTCTATATTCAAAATCCGCATCTCCGTAGAGCAATGAAGGCGAACTTACCTGAGAAGGTAAAATAATCCTCCAGGCGTTAGAAAAAAGTAATTCCCTGCGCAGTTTTTTCCCGAATCCTTACTCTTTCATTGAAAAAGCAAATTCAGACCAGCGGGCGTGTGTGCAAGCGCTGAACTGTTCCACCTGGACTTTTACTCCTGCATGATCGGAGCGCTCATTAAAAGTGGAGAACGGGACGGGGCCAGAGTTTCCCCTCTTTGCCCGTCCCACTTCAGGCGCCCAGCTCTTCACCCAGGCAAAAGAAGATCAGTAACCCGGGGCCATCAGGAGAGGATGCAGAGACCTGGCACCCAGCAACATAGCAGAGCTAAGCATCCTTTTGTTTCTTTTGTTTTTCTAGGACAGAAGAAGCCAGCACATATATTCATAGCTTTTACATGCCCAAAGAGAGGATTTTGCTTTACACTGGCACTTCAAGCTGCATCTTTTCTGTTATGTGAGGGAGGAAAACAGAGCAATGAACTCACTCATCCCATCTTCTGACTGAGAAATAAAACAACCAAGAGGAGAGTGTGTAAACTCTCACCACAGCCATCACTCCTCCTCCACCAAATAAACCAAACAACACCTGTTTGGGACACTTCAAGTCACATCCACAGTCACTTTGTGGTCTGTGTCTGCTGTTGTGGTCTACAGTACATGTGCTCCCCCACAGCCCCCCTCTAACACACACACAGACATATGTCAGCCTCAACTAACAGGGAGAGCCTGTTGGTTTATGCAGATTGCCACACAAGCTGCTGCTATTATGCCCTATACGGATGGTTACGCTGAAGCTGATTGCCATTTTGATTTAGAGGTCTTAAGGGCTGCTGTAAAAGAGCTCATTGTGCGTGTGATTATGGTTTTTGCAGAAATGCAGAAACCACCTTGGGCACTTTTTTTTTTTAAAGATTAAACTTTCATGGCTGAGGTAGATAATTGCCCATTGATGTTGCTAGGAAAAACTATATCAGGTGGTATTCCAGAGTTGCTCATTTCTCTTTCAACAGTGCCATTAGTTTGAAAGCTTGTCAACAGAAAAAAGCTATCCTAATTCACCACACCCATAGACCAGTTGAAGAGTTTTCTGTAAAAATAGAGCCACCATGCTTCCTTGAATGAATGGAGGTGTAAAATGACACATTTATATAGACAGATGGTCTAGCATATCTTAGGGAATGTGGCATATATGATGATGAAGATCTGATGGCCTGAGTGCCCTCGGGGGCATCAGGGGGAAATGGCAGAATGTTTGTGCCATCACACGCTTCAGTTGAGTTAAGGACAGTTTAGTGTTTCCAGATGTTATTGTGCATCTCTTGTCTTGCTACATTACTGACTGCACATTTTATCGTCTTCTGACAAGATTAAGGCAAATCAGCTATGGATTGCTCGGCGCTATGTGTTGCCGTTGCCAGTTTGAATTGAATGATTGCTTTTAAAAAGCCTTTGTTAGAGTTGGAAATGAACAGGTGTGAAATCCCACTTGAGATTCAGAAAATAATTTATTAACATGGGTTACACATGCAGTTTATTAACACGGGTAAGACCAAAAAATACAAAAATACTCTCAATCTCCCCTTGTAATTCAAGCATTCAAATAAGTTCTTTAGAGTCTGTCACACCAGTACTCTGATGTTTCAATGTGGGAGGGCAGGTTAATGTGGAAGAGCTCCTGTGTGTCACATGGAGGAGTCTGAGGAGGGCTGTTGACCCCTGAGTCGCTGTCAGGATTGGATGGGTTCAGCTCTCCCGCGGCGTATTTCGCCTCCAGCTTCTGGACAGGAAGTGATGCCGGTGCGGGCGGGGCCTCAGCTTTGGGTTTGATGTTTTTAAATTGTTGCAGGCGCACCACTTCCCTGCGCTCTCGTGTACAAGGCAGCAGCACAGAGATGTCCTTGCGAAACTTGGAGCTCATGCCGAAGTAGATGATCGGGTTGTAGAAGCTGGCGGACTTGGCAAAGAGACGGGTGATGATGCTGGTTGTGCTTGGCACATGAAAGCCCCAGGCTGACCACATAGACACCACTGCATATGGCGACCAGGCCATGATGAAAGCCGTGCAGATCACAATGGAAATCTAGAGAGGAACATGAGGGAACAATTGTCAGGACTGGAATAACGTGAGAGGAGATTTATTGCAGATGGGGTACTTTTAAGTAGAGCTTTAATCCACAGCTACAATTAAGTCTTTACAATAAAAACTTGCCATAAAGAAATAAACTTGATATTTTTGCCCCCTATTTGCCTACCCTTGTGACATCTCTCTCCACCTTCCTTTGGCGGGCGGTGACGAAGCCATCAGCTGACATGGCGTTTGTGCTTTTTACTGTGTTGATAATGGAGATGTAGGAGAAGAGCATGATCATCACAGGGATGAAAAAGCAGAAGATGAGGATGGAGATGATGTAGGACTTGTATATGGTTGAGTAATTGGCTTTCGACCAGTCCACCTCACAGGTGCCATAACCTCGATCTAAGGAGCATAAGACACAGAGGTAAGATCGAGGCCTTTAAATTCAAGTCTTATATTAATTTCTTCTGTCAGTTTAGTGTGTGAGAACAGACCTGTGTAGCTGCCCCAGCCCAGCAGTGGAGCAACCGACCAGAACATCGCTCCAGTCCAAATGCAGATGAGTGATACGGCAATGGTGTTAATGCTGATACAGTAAGCTGTAAAAACACCCAACAAGGAAACAGAACATGAATACAACATAATATACCCAAGTTGTGGAAAAGATTGCATCTTGAAAAAAAGGTTAAATGTTCTGACTTTGGCAAACACGGGACAGAAAAAGTGAGAGGCAAGTAAGGATGCAGCATTCTTGACTTGTAATGAATGTGAAGATTGTGACATTTACAGAACAATAAGGTCTTTTCTTATATTAACAGCCTTTGCAAACATCTGCAACAGAAAAGAACCTCTGTTGACAAAGTACACGTAGTTTTGTACTCAGAAAATCAATCACTTGCTCTATTTCTGAGCAGCCTTGTGTCAATATACCATATAATATGTGCAGTAGAGTTTGTGAGAGAGGATTGGCAACGTACAGTGCCATTGTTGCTATGCGTTACAATTTTTTCTAGGGCTGAATTACCTGATTTGCTGGCCTAAGTTCATTTCATTTGGACCTAAAGTCAAACTAAAATCTGTTGCTGTAGCACAAAATACAGTTGATGATATCCCATCGATGTTCATAGTTCAACCACCAGTGTAAACCCCACACACAGGTTTATATTGCTGGTGTTTTATGAACAACCACAAACACAGTAAAAAAGAAAATAACTCTCACCCCATCCTGACAACAGAGGCTCCACCTAATTTCCATATAATTAAGACATTCTTCAGCATCAGTTACACCCTAAAATAGACAATGTCACCTCAAATTAACTTAATGACATGTTGGCAAAATGTAAATGAAATTGCTGTAGAAAAGTGGTGGTAATTTCCACAGCTGAAGTTGGTAATAAGGTTTCATTAGCACTGAAAAACTAACTTTTCTATCAGATAACAACTGCTGGAATGTGAGGCAGGCCGAGACGCTGGCCTGAAGCTTTCCTTATGTTCTACCACATGAACTCGGGGAGGTTGGATCTGACCTTTGTTTGGATGGCATCCCTTGATGTATCTGGTGACGCTGATGACGGTCAAGGTGTTGATGCTTGCAAGACCGAAGAGCAAGGTGAAGAAACCATCTACCTGGAAAAAAACAAAGCGAGGGGTTGGTGAATCATGACGTCATATCTTTAAAATGTTTTAAGTGGTTACTGAAGCCTCAGGATATAGATCCATTGCCTGTCTGATTGTTCCAGACCTTTGTCTGTTAAGTTTGTTTTGCTTTAGAGTTTATCAGATAGAGACGTTACAGCTTAAAAGCTCCTCCTGCCCTTTTTTGCCAATATGCTCCAGACCTAGGGCATTTACTCTGATGTGGGCTGCAGGCTTTTTAACGTGCAGGATCAGCATTGGGAAATTAAAACTGAAACTTTCATAATAGTTATAATAGTTTTTTATCTTGATTTCCACCTAAGTCTGGTGGAAAAAAAGTTAAATGACTGCCAAATGAATTAACCCATAAAGCTTTTTAGCATCCAGTCCATTGTTTGGGAAGATGATCCTTTAATCACAGCTCATGTTAAAAGGGAATTATGCTACTGTGTTTCAGTCTGGCTCCAACTGTCTGACACCCAATTCCCTGCTGTGCCATTTCCAGGTGACATGGATAAGTTAAGGTCTCTCACTGATTACTTTGCTGATCTTCCTTAGTCCTAATCCTATTACTGTCAGTCATCACGTTTTTTCACCCTCACATTCGGCCAATTACTGACGCTCAGAACAGTAGGTTTTAATTCAGCACTGTTCGGTTGTCCATTTTCTGTCTTTGTAAGAATTTAACACCAGGTGCATTAAGATTTCTCCTTCTTGAAATTATGTTATTTTATCCTCCCAGCTCATCTCACAGCCTAATGTTTCCCCTCTGCCTCTGTCTTGGTTCAAAAGAAAAGATTATGTGAATTTTGGATCATAGATCAAGTATTTCTTTTTATAAACCTTGTGCACTGCTTTCTCTGTATTCCCCTTTGCAACATCAAAGAGCTCCATAAGGCTCTATCATATTCAATAATATCCTGTCCCATAGGGTGCAAAACACAGGGATCTGGCCCAGCTTGCAACTGTTCATGTCCCATCATGCTCCATGCAGTAATCTGCTAATGCTTCTCACATGCCTGTCTCCTTCACCTTCCTGTTCCTTCCCTCCTCTATTTCTGTCACTTCTTACTTTTCCCTTGTTTACTTCTGACACTCCCTCTCTGCGACCACTTCACTCAGGGGAAGGTGAAAATGAGAGGGGCGTACTGCTATCCCAATATTTCTCCTTCACCTGAAAACCTGAGATTGGATGTCTGAGCGATGAGATCATCTCAATGGCTGCACTGAAGCCTAAAGCAGCAGACCTCTGTTTATAGGGTTTCTCCTGCTCAGATTTTGGGGTTTACACCTCTGAGTCTCTGGTTACACCCGCTTGTTTTCGTTCACTCTCTGCATCACGGATATCACGGTTTCTACCACAGCTAGCCTTAAGCAAGAAAAATACTCTGGATGAATTCCAAGCTAAAGTATGACAACTATTTCATTTCAAGCTGCGGCTGCAGGGGGAGAAAAACACTGAAATGAACAGCATCTCATCTTTTAATTCAGTGTCAATAACTTCAGCAGCATAAAAAGCACGTGTCTTACTTGTGCAACAAATTTTCTTCCTGCTGGTCTCATTTGTTTCCTGTTTGGTTGTTGACAGGTGCCATGCTGCTCAAAGAGTTTTTCCCATTTAAAGGCCTCCACAGTGGTAATCTTATTACAGATTTAACCTCCAGCCCACATGGCTACTAGCATAATCCCTTGCACACACACACACATACTCACACATACTCACACGCATACTCACTTTACTGTAAGACTTCCACAGATTCCTTTAATGTACTTCATTAATTGGGATTGGCCCA